CTTTCATGTGGGCGTTGCGTGCCCAGTTTGAGGATCGGAATGACGCCCCCAAAGTGAGGGTGTTCTTGCGCGACCTGAAAGAAGGGAAGCGGTCAGTGAAAGAATACTCCTCAGAGTTTAAGCTGCACATGGCCAAAGTCCAAAATTGGCTGGATCAGGTGCTGGCTGAGTTATACCGGGTGGGGCTGAACCCCGAGATCCGGAGGCGCCAAAAGTGGTGAGGAGCTACCTCCCCTATTTTTTGTGACTGTGACTCTTATTAACCCGACTCTTGGAACTCACATTCGTGTGACAGCCCTTATTGACTCAGGGTGTGGGAGGGACCTCATCAACCCCTCTTTGGTAACGGGGTTGGTGGCAGGGGTGGTGAAGCTGTAAGACCCCTGGATTTTTTACCCAAATAGATGGGTCTACCATGAAAGAACCATCTGAGTTTGAGACTGTCCCATTGCAAGTTGGGGCGGGGGATAACTGGGAGGGACGTTCGTTTGTGATCACCCCAACCGCCAGGTTCCCGCTCGTCTTAGGGGGGCCCTGGCTGCATTGACATGACCTGTATATTTTGTGAGATGAAGGGAAGGTGCAGTTCATCTCTCCTCGGTGTCACTTGCACCAGTGGAACCCACAGATGAGCTGCTATCCATCCATCCCTCCCGAGTACTGGGACTTGGCCAGAGTTTTTGAAGAAGAGGAAGCTGACGAGCTCCCACCCCATAGACACTCGGACTGCAGTGTTGAAATATTACCGAGACAAAAACTGCCCAAGGGGCACATTTACACGATGGGCCCGGCCAAGAAAGATGAACTGCGTACATTTATCGACAAAAACTTAGCCAGAAGTTTTATCCGACCGGCCTCCTCCCTGTTTGCGGCCCCAGTACTGTCCCGGGAAAAAAAGGATGGGGGCTTGACGTTGTGTACTGACTATTGAGGCTTAAACGCAGTGTCATCGACCAACGCCTACCCCATGCCTTTGATCAAAGATTTGTTAGCCGAAGCGGCTAAAGGAAAGATCTTTTCAAAGTTAGATCTCCGGGATGCCTACTTCCAGGTCCACATACGGGAGTGGGATGAGCATAAGACTGCCTTTAACACACCTCTGGGCCAGTTTGAATACCACATAATGCCCTTCGGTCTTCAGGGGGCTCCTGGTGTCTTCATGAACCTGATCAACGAGGTGTTGCACAAGCATCTGTTTAAGAGGGCTCTTGTTTACCTGGATGATATCTTGCTGTACTCTCCCGACCTGCCCTCACACGTGAAATTGGTGAGGGAAGTTCTAACCACGTTGCACAAGCACAAGCTGTTTGCGAAACTCTCCAAGTGTGAGTTTCACAAGTCACACATTGACTTCCTGGGATATCGAATATCAGACAAGGGGCTGGAAATGGACCCGGGGAAGGTGCGGGATGTGCTGGGGTGGGAAACCCCCCACACCCGCTGCCAATTACAAGCCTTCCTCAGTTTTTCAAACTTTTACAGAAATTTTCTGCCCAACTTTGCCCAGATCAGTTTGCCTCTCACTGACTTATTAAAAATGAAAGGGAAAGGGCCGGAGGCAACCAAACCGGGTGCAGCCCTGGCTTGGAGTAAAGAGTGCCAGGAGTCGTTCAAATGCCTCAAAGCTCTGTTCACGTCAGAACCCGTCCTAGCCCACCCTGATGAAAATAAAAAATTCATCGTGCATGTCGATGCGTCGGACGTGGCCATGGGGGGTGCAATCCTCCAAGAGGGAGAGGATGGATTAATGCATCCCTTAGCATAAGTGTCGAGAAAGCTCAATGGTCGGTGTGGGAGAAAGAGGCGGGGGCAATCCACCTTGCGCTTGCTACCTGGCGGCATTGGCTGGAGGGAGCACGAGTTCCTTTTGAGGTGTGGACTGAGCACAAGAACTTGGAAATGCTAAAAACGCCTCGAAGCCTCAATGCAAAACAGCTCCGGTGGGCCGATTTCTTTTCCAAGTTTCAGTTTAGGCTTCACCATTTCCCAGGCTCTGCAAACTCCCTCGCTGATGCCCTGTCCCGCCTCCCACAACACGACAGCCAAAGGGAGGTCATCTTGGACTCAGTGTTCACGTCCTCCCACCTGGGCGGGGCGGTGACTACACGTAGTCAGGCAGGCCCATCCTCATCCCCTACGTCACCGACACCCAGGCCCCCACCACCAGCTGAGGCGGGCAGGAAAACATGGCACAGTAAATTCGCCTCCGCCCTCTCGGAGGGTGACAGGGCCGTGGTGGAGGCAGAAGGGAATTTCGAACTCAGATCTGAAGGCTGCTGGTACCACAGAAACAAACTGTTTGTTCCACTCTCCCTCCGGGGGGAAGTACTGCACACAGTGCACGGCTCGAAGCTGAATGGCCACCCCGGGTTTGTTAAGTCCCTTCAGCTCATGCAACGCCCATTCTGGTGGCTGCAAATGCGAAAGGAGTTATCTTCGTTTGTGAAGTCATGCCAAATTTGTGCCATGAGTAAACCCCGGCCAGGGAAACTCCAGGATTACTGCAACCACACCCGACTCCGAGCCGGCCATGGGAGGCGATTTCCATGGACTTTATTACGAACCTGCCCCCGAGCAAAACCATGTCGGTCATTTGGGTTGTCGTGGATTTATTCTCCAAGCAGGCACACTTTATCCCGTTTGCGTCCCTGCCCACGGCAAAAGCCCTAGCTAAAGAGTTTTTACTACACGTAGTCTGTTTACATATGCTCCCGAGCAAGGTGATATCCGATAGGGGGCCCCAATTTGTTTCCCGGTTTTGGGGGGAGCTTATGAAACTGATGGGGGCCAAACAGGCCATGAGCAGCGCCTATCACCCCAAGACTGATGGACAGACGAAACGGGTTAACCAGACCTTGCAACAATATCTCCGCTTTTTCACCAATTATCAACATGATGATTGGGTAGATCTGCCCCTGGCCGAGTTCTGTTATAATAACACGTGTCATTCATCTACCGGACTGTCCCCCAGTACCTTTTTTGGAGGGGCCAAATGACTTGGGGCTGGGGGATGCGGCTCAATGGTGTCAACAATTACGGGACTCGTGGCCGCTCCTTTGCAAGACTTTAATGGCAGCCAAGGAGGCTTATAAGGCTCAGGCTGACAAGAGAAGGGTGGAGGGTTGGGCTCTGCAGCCTGGTGATTCGGTGTATGTGTCTACTAAGAACATCAAAGTCCTACGGCCTAGTCGAAGACTAGGGTGGAAGTACATTGGTCCGTTTAAGATGAAATGGATGATCAAGGATGTGGCTGTTGATCTAGATCTCCCTAAGAACCCGAGGAATCTTCAGTCTGTATTTCATTTCAGCCTCCTGAAACGGGATTCTGGCTCAAGCACCTGGCGACCGTTGCAACCGGTGTCCCCTCCTATCATGATTGAGGGTGAGGAACATTATGAAATCTCAAAGATCTTGGACTCTAAACTCAAACAGGGGAAACTGTTTTATTTGCTGGAATGGTTGGATTTTGGACCCCAGCACCTCGAATGGGTGGAAGTAGGGGATATTCGGGCCCCTAGACTGTTGCGCAAGTTCCACCGAGAGTTCCCGGACAAACCGAGAGTTCCCGGACAAACCGGGAGGTCTCCTGGAATGACCGGGAGGTCTCTCGGAATGGGTGGGAGAAGCTGGTTTTTGAGAGGGCAGAATGTCAGCTATGCTGTCATGATGTTTATGGGCTGGGGTTCATTTGCTTGACCTGTGTACCAGCCGCTGCTGCATTCCTTCCTTGCTTCTGTAGTACTTCATTATCACTGACTGTCAGCAAGCTGCCAATGAATGTCTTTCAGTATATATATGAACCCCCTATGTCCAATACCCCCCCCATGGATGATGCAAACTGTTCTTCTGTGTAACTGCTTGCTAACAGTGTAGAATTGCTTGCGCAGGCGTAGAAGATGTAATGACTATGCTTGTTGGGGAAACACTTTCTTCTCAAGGACAACAGGTGGGAGATAAAGAGTTCTAGCCTTTGTTTTAATTAGTAGAGTCTATGGGAACTGCTAGCTGCTGATAGCAGGGGCCGTTGCTTTCTCATGAAATGAGCGCGTAAAAATACTCTGGATGTCAGGGCGGGAATAATGATCATTGGTTAAAAATGATTTTGATTTCCCTTTATGTTGCTTGTGCTTCCGCATTATGTTATTCCAATCAGAGACCTGTTCAGTGATCCATGGCTTCAATAAAGTAACCTTGTTCAATGCAAAGTGACTCCGTTGATTCCAAGTGAACCCTGACACTGACCTTGTAGATTGCCTGTGTAGTGTCTGGGCATCATGTAACCGTGGGATAGCTTTCGATTCCCAGCTTCGGCTCTAACGGCCTGGGGCCCCTTCTCCCGCACGCCGGAGTCAGACCAATTGGCCTATGGATGGGGTGTGTGCATACGAATACCCTATATCCCATTGTGCTTGTAGAAACGTCGCCATTCTTAACAGTGACCATGTTACTGCATCTGTAGCTCTGCAATAAAGTATAACCTTTCTGACAAGTGTGTACTCAGTTGCTGGCTGTGGAACCAGTCAAAAATGTCGGCTTCCATGGCAAAGGATCAACTGCTTACTCATCAGCAGCCTTGGCTTCCTCCATGAACTTGAGGTTTTTCCACTGGCCAGAGCACCCTGTCTGCTCACATCAGCTCCGCTCACCTTTGGACAAGTATATTTTGGCGGGAAGGTTGGGATACAGGTTATGGGCATGAAGATAGCCGTTTGCTTAACTCCATTATTTGCAGTATGATAAAAGAACGTACTAGAGTCTATTTGTCCAGATTCTGAAAGAATAATGAGTTTGCAAGGTCTTTCTGTGACAAGATGTCCACTTAACAAACACAATGAGCAAATATTTATCCATTTAATTATTAGCAGGAGTCTCTCTCAAGACCTACGACAGCAATATGGGTTGTGATTAACCCAACATGGACATCAGCAGAGTATAAAAGCTCTGTCTGCTCTTTTGCTCTTTCTGCCTTGCATATTCCAGCCCCCAAACAATTTGGAACCATGAAGTGGGTAACATTCATTTCTTTTATTTTCTTGGTAAGTTCTACTGAATCAAAACACCTGCCCAGAAGATCCCGGGATGTAGGTAAGAAGTGCTTCAAAATTGTTCATGTGACTTAATCAGACTTGTGTTGGGTTTGCGATGCTATTTAAAAACTGAGGGCTCAGTCCACAGAGAAAATGGTCCAGGACATTGGGACTTGGGCTGGTATTAGACATTATAGTAGACAAGCAGCTACTGTTGAAAATAGCAGCTGTATTTCTAGTACAACTCACCCGTCTGCTACAATCATGATGTCATGTGTTTCCAAGCAAGCTGAGGGGCAGGGAAACGCACAACACTGTGAGGTCAGACATGGGCAACTTGTAGTAGATAGATACTGCACAGGGCAAGTGGAGGGACTCTGCATTGTAACTTTTCCTTCTCACACTAAACAAACAAACTCTAAAATGTGATATGTTGATGTTACACAATAAATTGTGCAACTTGTCAGGCAAGGCGGGGTACAAATACAAATAATAAATAAAATAAATAAAAATAAATATTTGGGGAGCTTCCATCCTGTCTCTTCTTTTGATCTGCACTGGCTCTTTTAAGTTAAGCCCTGTCCCATTTCCTTTTTCTTTTTTTTGCACTAGTAATACCTTCTAGCTACTTTAATGTGCAATTCTAGTCCATGACATTTCATTTAGAGTCCAGATAACTTTCCCTCCTAGCAGCCTCAGTTTAATGCTTCCAGCAATACACCTTTTGCACACAAGAATATTCCCTTCTGTTCCCATGATGTGGACAAATGGTAAAGGTAGTGTATGGGCTGGTAGCATTTGGCAATAATTTCTATGACTTTCTCAAGCAGTCAAGACTAGATGCATAAGGGAAAAAACTGTACTGGGGAAAGCAGCTCCTGGTATCTTGTGAATCCTGGAGATGATGTGATTTGTGTGACAGTTTAAACTGCCAACGGGGCCAAATGGAAGACCACGTGAGGCCAGTGAGCTGACTCGTGACCCCAGCAAAGGCTGTGTGCTCCCCACCTGACGAAAGGGCCCACCCGCCGATCCAGTGAGAGCCAGAGGTGCATCAGGCTGCCGAGGTAGATGTGCATGGCTGCCGCCCACCTTTGCTGTGTGGGAGCCGCTTTCTGAACAGGGAGCTTCCTTTCTGGACCATGGGTGAATGAGGCAGTGTAATTACAGAGTGATCCCCGTGATGTAGTTTTGAGTAAATCCTATTAATTTTGGCCAATAGCCACTGATCTTCGTCCTAGCCATGTGTACACGGAGACACCAACAGCTCCACGGTCTTTCCTCTTGAAAGCACAAAGCAATATATTGTCATGAAAAGCAGTGACTGCATATTTGCTAACTGTCTGCTTTTCAGGGCCACGTGACACCATCGGGCACAGCTACTCTGAAATACCAGATGAGGATTTTAAAGGCATGTAAGTCTCAGACGTCACTTGCTTGATTTGATTCAGTTGACCTGATCAAAAAACCAGGCTGGAGGTGACCTGGTCTAAAAATCCAAAGGACAACTGAGTAGGACAGGAGAACTGTTAGCAACATAATAGTTGGTACAGATTAGCAATACAAAGTAGCCATCAAATGAAGTCAGATGCAACAGGCATCTGGACTGTTGGCTAATGGACTGTTAGTAGATTAAAGGAAACTCTTGGAGCAATTAAACCCTGCAGCTTAGTTAAGATGTCCCCTCCCACAGGAGCCAGTTTGGTGTAGTGGTTAGATTCTCTAATCTGGGAGAACCGGGTTTGATTCCCCACTCCTCCACTTGCACCTGCTGGATGACCTTGGGCAAGCCATAGTTCTGATAAGAGCTGTCCTTGAAAGGGCAGTTCTAGAAAGAGCTCTCTCAGCCCCACCTACCTCACAGGGTGTCTGCTGTGTGGAGGGGAAGGGAAGGGAAAGGAGTTTGTAAGCCGCTCTGAGACTCTGAGTGAAGGGCGGGGTATAAATCCAATCTCTTCTTCTTCTTCTTCATAGGCGACCAGTTTTTAGAAATGATTTTTAAAAGCAGATGGCATGATGCCTGCCATCTTCTCTGTGACACACCTGCAAGACTGCCTCTTCTAAAGGTGCAGGCTGCAAAAATGATTTCCATCACTGAAAAGCAAAGACAAGATCCCTTTTTTATTCTGAGCTATGTTTTTGTTAAAATGCATATTGATGCAGATGAGTTGATGAAAACATATTTGATTAGTCCTTTAGCTGACTGTCAGACTGAGCAAATATTTTAATTTTAAATTGACTTCAATCCTCAAAGTAGTGGGTCATTCTAAGAGGGAACCTCCAGTGACAGTTTTAATGCCTTTGGTTGTATCCTCCTAAAGAATATTGGACTTGTGTCTTTTGGCATGCAAATGGAAGGCTGGCACAAAACTCATATGGAGACTTAATTCTTCAGCAAAGGAGATTCATGTTTAAATAAGAGAGCTCTGAGTGTTTCTGGTCAATGTCTCATATTCTCAAGCTCCACTGGGCTCATTCCCTATGCTTGTCACTCATTGCCATGTCTACAAAAACTCTCCTGTCCAAAGTATTCATGGTAGAGATAATTGTTTTCTTAACTGCATATGCTCCTTTTCAGTGCCCTTGTCTCATTTGTTCACTATGTGCCAAATATCACATACGAAGATGTGGAAAAAATGGTAGAACACATCACAGAGCTTGGGAAGAAATGTGCAGCTGATGAACACGCAGTGCCAGAATGCGCAATGCATTTTGTAAGTTGTTGGAAACTAGATTTTTAGAATACAGTTCAAATACTACACACCCAGGGAAATGCTGATCGCCACTTTGGGGTCAGGAAGCAATTTTTCTCCAGGCCAGTTTGGCTGGAGATCCTGGAGGTTTTTTGTCATCTTCTGGGCATGGAATAGAAGTCACTGCGGGTGTGGATGGGGAGGTACTTCTGAATTTCCTGCATTGTGCAGGGGGGTGGACTAGATGACCCTGGTCCAACTCTATGATTCTATGAAATATTTGTATAACTAGCAGTAAAGCCCGTTGTGAAAGCAATACAACGGAATCTAGAAAGAGGCTCTGGGGCAGTGCTCTGGCTTTGGGCAAACAGTGTCAATTTGCTGTGGTGACCTCAGCAGGGTATAATGACAAAGTCCACTGTTTTCTCCATAGGAACTGATCTCTGCTACCAGAAGAGCAGTTGTAATTGTGAGTGATCTGTAGCCCTCACCTGGAGATTGGCAGCAATTGTTACCCAGGACAAAATGGATGGTTTGGAGGGTTTAGTCTATGGCATTTTACCTGTCTGAGGTCCCACCCCTCTGCAAACCCCACCCTCTCCAGGCTCCAGGAGGCAGAAGCCTCCTGTCGCCCACTCCCTTCCCCTCCCCCACCACCAACTCCTGGGCCGGCAACTGGAGGCCGGGTCCCTTCCCCCCCACTCACTCCAGGGCCGGCAACGGGATGCAGAGGCCTCCGGCTGCGGCGTCCATTCCCCCACCCCCCTCCCACCCTCACCCACTACTGTTTACCTTACCACCATCCAGCCTATG